GACCTCTCTGAACACTCAAGCGAAAGCCATCATGAGCATATACCTAAGAAAAAGAATCCATCCGAGGTAAAATTCTACCATTATCTCTCTTTATGGCTCAATCGCGGTATGTGCACTCTCATACCAATCCCATTTTTTTAGACTCCCGTTTCCATTTTTTGGCATTGAAATAAGCTCTTTCCGACTCATTTGGTCACTGAAACATGTTTTCAGTAAGCTATTCATGGTGGACGGAGGGATGAGGGATGAGGGGCGCGGTTTGAGGGGGGAGGGGTAAGGAGTGCTTCACTAAAAAACGCTTCTGAAACTCAAGAAAAAAAAAAATCATGGGGAAACGTCAAAATTATAATACGGGTTACATTATGAGACATGCCCAAGGCATTCTTTATCATGTTAAAATATCAATTTTCAAGAGCCAGCCTCGTTTCGGATTGAACCGTTTCGGCTTTGGACGACAACGACAGAGCAGCAGCGGTGTGGATTCGGGCCGTGGAAGCTTAGCATCTGTCTCAACGGTATGTGATATCATTTTCGACGTAGTAGAGCCTACCTCGGTTTTTCCATCTAGAAATGGCGCGGGTCATTACCATTGGGGCTAGGAATAGTGAACACACTGAATGGGTTCCTCTGCTACATACTGCGATAATTCATCGCAAGGTTCGCCTTCACCTCACTTAAAGGCAAACTCCCGGGATTGGTCCCGACTAGTAGGATACCACGAGGGAAATTGTAAGGTCTGTAACTACCTAGATCACTCCAGCTTCGTCGCAAAATTGCGCGGTTAGGGCGCTAATCCTTACGGGCCTGCAACCATCGACCCCGTTCCAACGCTTCCCACCCACCGCGAGAGGTGGTGAGATCAGCGTGCTCTCTCAAACGACGTGCTCTCTCGCGTATTTTGTCTTCTTTGACCGCCCTGTCTCGCCATCGTACCACATCCGACCTTATTGAAGGTTAAGGCCTTAATTTCAGCGTTCCCAAAGATTTCTCTTGCTTTCCTTTCCACTTTCAGGTCGTTCCGCAGCTAAGCTATCACTACAGAGTTACTGTTAGCACACACAGATAGCACTCAGTTCAACCCCGGTATTTGCCTTTAAAGGACGAATTCACGATCAGAGGGAAAATCGAATTAGGAAGAATTCACCTGGTTGAGGGACCCGCGGAGCTCCTAAGTGTGCGAACTGAAGCACAATTTGCACAGAAGGAGTTGACCTCGTTGACCTATTAAGGTTTAATCCCGCCGCGGCTGGTCAGTGCACGCCCACCGATCATCTGATCACTCGCCGCAGGTCTATACGTGGCGAGTGATTAGATAGGTGAGAGAGCGTAGTGTTGAAGAGGGCACAGCGATGATAGCTCAAATCAACGGGCAAGGAAGGGGTCCCATTTCTCGGGTTCTGGGCCGTTTCTCATGGTTTTTCCTTCCTTCGTGTAGTGTACCACTCACCATCCCTAGGTTAATTTGAAATGGGTTGCCTTTCCAGCGTGAATTCGTCCTTTAAAGTTTGTTCTTTCGTGGATAGAGGTGTTAAGTCCGCCACTGGATAGGTACCCCCCCCCTCCACACCATCGAAAATGCGTCAGCGCAAGACGTTAGGCGTTGAAGGACTTGATCAAATCCCACCAACAGTATCAGGACCCGCCCATTGCTCGTTATCTTACCTGCGTCGCCATGTTGATGCTATGCTCTCTCTTCTCGGACTTCTCTTACCCTCTCCGCGTTTCATATTATGTCTTATTTTCCTGCCTGCCTCTCAGACTCTTTCGCAGAGTATAGCAAGACGGGTCGTATCTCCTGTGTTTTTTTACGATTTTCATTCCTTGCAGTCTAATTCGCATCCTTACTTTTATATTCTAGTGGGATTACCACATCAAGTTATTCCTGATTCCTGCCTTTAATACTTCGTCTTCGAGTTTCTCTGTCGCGTACTAGAAATTAGCACGGGACCACTCGCAAATACAATGTCCATGAAATCGTCCCGACAGATTCCATGAATGCTGCAACTGTCACCCTGCGCACGCCTGTTGGGTATTAAAGATCATCTATCTGAAATGTTTGTGTTAAAAAATTTGCAGTACTTTTGCAACTCTTCTAAAGAAAGTTGAGTCCTTCAAAATAGATTTTTTGGAGTATCATATTGTTCCTACACATTTAGATCAGTATGAGACTGTGGGGAAGAAGAATATTACACTATCTCAATGTGATTCAGCGAGACACTGCGGAACGGAACTCACTGGCAAGTCGAGATGGTGCAGCCGTCGAATCAGAAGCAGATGTCACTTCAAAACTGATATTACCATCAATCCATTCCGAAGCATCTTCCTCCGCACCGCGACGATCTTCGTGGATACCTCGTCTTCTCAGTCGCCAACGCACATCTTCACTTATTCGTCCACAGTTGGTGGTTTCGGATTACACAGAGATAGGTGAAACGAAGTCAGGCAGCTGAAACTAACTGAGGCAAGATCACAACTTAATTATACACACGGTCCACATTCCCTTACAACTTCTAACTTTTATGGTTTTAGAGTGCTCGAATGGTCCAGCAGCGACCAGCAGCCTGAGAAATTTCTCCGTCCGTTTTTTCAATGATAGCACCCAACTTTTATGTCGCTGCCACTGAAGACTAGCACTGCTACTGGTTGCCACTAATTAATTCACTATGACGTATGTTACGGCTGTTTACCCTTCAGTGGTGACATTGACCACATTGGTGGAATTACGTTCTATAGGAAGTACTGGTAGTTTTGTATACGTGATAGACAAGCTATACAAAGGGTTTAATCCAGTGACAGGGGGCATTGCGGTGCGAGGTTTGCTCTAGTTCCATTTTTGCTCAGCGAGTCCTTTGAAGTCTCACATTGCAAGCTGCCCCATTCCAACGTGCGACTCTTTGAAGTCTCACATTGCAAGCTGACCCCATTCCAACGTCATTTTATTACAATTTGATAAATTTGCACGGAGTTTTTGTACTGAATGATGGTAAGAAGAACTGGTGAGCCAGAGAGACGATTTCCAGATCAGTCTAAGTCAGGGAGGATAACTTAAGGGGAATAAACAAGATACTAGTTCTAACACGCGAAATTTCCCGTCCATCCATTTTAAAAGGTCGAGAACATTCAAAAATAAATGCTTGTTGTCATTTGAAGGCTTGGCGCACAGAACCGCAGCCTCCTCTTACTGGAACAGATTTCTCTTTCAGAATAAGCCAATACATAGGGTGACTTTAAGATGAAAGTCTAGGAGTGTTTGTACGGTCCCTCCTGTGAAGATAACACTATTGCTCGGGTTCTTACAAGGGAAGGTCTTTCAGGGCAAGGTGCGCTTTTTGGAAACGGTTTAGTACATGTTGTAGGGACGCATGTATGGACCACAAAACCATGTTTCGTTTTCGCTGAACGGTTTTAGTAGTACCAAAAAAGTGGTGAATAATACTCTTGATGGTTCAATCCCCCGCGGCGACTAAATTTTGCAATCAAGGTTGGCGGCCACTTGTTGGCTTCAAAATGGTCCTGACGATGAATTTGACATCTGATTTTGATATTTAGCGCGATTTGGCACCAAACCGTAGGCGCCAACCCAAATGCAAAATTTAGTCGCCACGGGGGATCGAACCCTTAACAGTACCTTATGCTTCTTTTGGTACTGCTATAACCGTTCAGCGAAAATGAAACATGGTTTTGCGTTCCCTACATGCGTCCCTACAATATGCACAAAACAACTCCACAACAAATGGTTTTTGAAAAAAACGCGCACTGCGCCTGAAACGACCTCCCTGGTTAGGAAGGCTGTAGTACTGCTCTTAAAATTAGTGGGTCAGCCACGTCTTTGCAACTTCCGCGTAACTTTCCATGAGAACGGCGATAAAGCTGGTAAGATGCGATTTGATTGCTGGAGATATTTCAAGCTTATCTCGTTGTTTGACGTGAAATAAGTTCGCCGTCCAATCTGGCGAAATTCTGTACCTTCAGCCTGTTTCCGTAGCTGAACATTTCGCAATTGCAGACTTAGCTAAGCACGTCGAGCGGATATTTCGACGAACACCAGAAGAGCCTGGATCTTGGTATAGATTTCACGACCGCACCCATCTGTTCTACTAGGCCTGCAATTACGACATTTCGGCCCCGAGAAACAAAGTGTACTTGTACTCATTTCGTTTTGTACAAAAGTTATGAATTAATTTGGATCATCTATACTACATACTAGGAGCAGGTCTGCTAAATAATGTGGATTACCCCTGCTTCCGAGAACTAAGTGCGCGTCGAGTGCAGATCGCACACCATACGACGAAGACGACGGCCTCCAAGAAAATCTGGTAATTAATGATTCATAGTGATAGGTGATAATTTGTATATTGTAGTTGTAATCAGTGACAACCGATAAAATAATGTATGCTATACGAAGTTATTTCACTGCAGAAAAAACGGTTCGGTGCTATTGTACTTCGGTAAGCACACCGCCTTTTTCGGATACGGTAGGCGCGAAATGTACGTCTGCGTTGATATGACGTCACGAGGCCCGCGCAGAGTACTAAGCGCCGCTTATGTAGAAGGAAGAGGATGCAATGCAAGTGGCTGTCGCCCCACCTCGGATGAAGCGGCACCCCGGGGATTACCTCCCTATGCCTGCGCGCGAAGCGCGCGCATTGTTCAGCCTCGCCGCGCAAGCGGCGAGGCGAACGCTGCGACGGAAGGCTAACCCCTTTGGAAGAACAAAGAAATCATAGCACGCATATGTGAGTACTCCAGACAGTACTTGGAACGCTGATTTGCCTCCGCTCGCGATTGGTAAGATCCGGAGAACCGAATGGGTATTGATTATCGACTACCCAGCAGCTCGTGACGTCATATCAACGCAGACGTACATTTCGCGCCTACCGTATCCAAAAAAGGCGGCGTGCTTACCGAAGTACAATAGCACCGTTTACATGGTATGGATCTGCATCGTCACTGTGTTGTGTGGTTTTTGTCTGCATTTGACACCACCTGGGGTTTTCGTTATGCAACAGCAAGGAGCATTCTACTCCGTCGATGGAGATGAAAGTATTTTGGTCTCGTGTTGATTTCGTCATTACTACAGTGAAGATTCTGCGATGATCAAGTTTCTCAAAATGTTTATAATGATCCTCAAATCGTTCTTTACATATCTTGCTCTATCTTGCTCACTATTTCAGTGTTTGATGTGATTATATATGTACAGGTGATGAGTAATACATTGGGAGCTGTTTCATTGTACATACTGCTTTTGACATCTTGCTAATCGTTTGCAAATTATGAATGTGATATGTATTTTCAGATTTTTCGATTTTATAAAGCTCATTTTGGGTCTCACTTAATGGTGTCTGCCATAAAAGTTGCATTTTCGTGTAATGATGAACATGTGTAAATAGCAACCTCAGATCGTTCTTTGATTTTGCCCTCTTATAGCAAGCCGACACGAAGAAGCCCAAGACAAAGCTGCCCTCTCACACTTCAATCCTTAGAGTGATCCACATGCGCGGCACATCTTGAGGGAGGGAATTGTCGACATCAATCAAATCCTAGGTACCATTCTTGGACAGCGGCCTTATGTTTTGGAAAAATAGTCCTATCATATTGCGTCCCATTAAGGATCAACATAAACTATGCTCTGTATATTTTATTACTGGACAGTGGAACGATATCGTTCAGTCTTTAAGTCTTGATTGCCTGTTAAACCTCTGCTCACTTGTAGATGGCGTTTAGAGTGGTGACAGAAGTACAATAGCTGATGTCTGAGGGTAGGATAGCGAAAGCGCAACCGCCTTTTCTTCTCATACTTTGAAAAATATTTGAAACGAACGTCAATTGGCAGGTAACATGTAGAGCAGGTTATGCTCCTAGTTAGCGTTTCCGAAGTTTACGTTTCCTGAACCGTTCCTATATGATGTTTCACACTTGCGGCGCCAAACTCCTGCCGCTTTGACCTGATCAGGCTTTCTATCTTGCCTCATGGATTGTTCACCACACTGACCGCGAAAGGTGCAAGGAAAAGCAATCCGCAGTAACAATTTCAAGGCCACAATGCAGTGGTTCTGGGTCACTTTAGCATTCAAACCTTGGAGGTCTTCGCCGGATCGAAAATCATTTTGCAACCGTACGGTCTAGCAACGCTTCTAACAGTTGCTCTACACTTTGCATTCGGCGTGGCAAGGATGCTGAACAACACTATGTTCCGGTTTAAATGATATTGGGCCGCAATAAAATTATTCTGCAAAGTAATAAAGGGGGCTATAAAAAACCGTTGAAGTAGAAGATGTGTCAAATACGAACACGAGTCATCCTCAACACTGGATTTCACGTTGAAGAAGCAAAAAAAAATTTGTGCAGTTATTTGGACGGATCGCTTTCACCTTGTCTTGGAACAGTACAGCCACTCATATTTATTATTTATGTTTATTCATTTAAACTGCACTTTAGGTGCGCCCAAAACAACACCAGGACTCATGTTAGTCGAAACATAACGCAAAACGAAGAAATAAAAATAAATCCAAGCAGTCATTAAAGTAAAACCGAGTACAAAACTGCTACAGCCAGGAGACAACATTCCCCTAACTTAGATGGCATCAAGCTGGGGACCGCGAGTCGTCATTATGTAGAAGCCGGACTTTCATGCCTGTTGACAAAAATGAAAAAGACCATTCATCAAACAAACAGAAACTCAACACCATTAGTCACCCATGAATACCTGGAGAGTTGAGGAGACTGCATAAGCGCATCGGCCTCTCAAACTAAACATTTTAAGTAAGTAGAACAGTAAGGTGCAAAGCCAGCCTAGGCAACGCAACCGACCGCAGTCGTTCCCGGGCGGGCCAAAGTAGGTGCCTCTTTGATCTAAATACGAACCCAGGGCGTAAGACCTAGGCCCAAGTATTCGAACCGGAATACTTGTTGACTTGCACCGACTTATGGAAGTAAAGGATAGTCAATAGCAGGTAAGCCTGGGTGACTGAATGGGGAGAGCGGAAAACCAAAAAAAAAACTTTTGATTTTCAGTCGATAAAATTGGCTGATAGTCAATTTATAAACTTAGGAATCTGAGGCTCGCGGTGCATACCCTCCTTTCGAAATACGAGAAGAGCGTCGGATGCAGACCATACACCACAAATGACGACAGCCTTTAAGTAAATTCGGTTAGTAGTGGTTCATAGTGACTGCTGATTTTTGGTAAATGATAGCTGTAATTAGTAACTGATAGAATACAACTGCAACAGGCACGTGGATTTTCTTCACTGCCGCAAAACATCCCACGAGGGAAGCCGTCGTCACTTGTGGTGTGTGTTCTGTTCTCGGGAGCACCTGGATACAGAAACAGAGGAATCATTTTTCGGAGACTGTTATCACTTGTGTTGTGAAGTCTGCAGTGAAAACGCCTCTGGTCACTAGGTACGAAGGTTACATGCGTCCGATGATTAATGTTAATACGTATAGAAAGACGAATCGTACTAGTACCACAAGAGCTAATTTACTGCAAAACAACTGCTCCACACAACTGGTTCCTAACGATATAGTTCAAAGCGCGATAGTTAGTGTCCACTGGTTAGCCGCAGCTGACCTTGGCGCATAGACTGCCCGAGCGTCCGTCACCTGGGCGACACCTCGTATGTCATGCTATCGCTGTTCAAGACTGTATCTGGTGATCTCTGGCTTAGTACACCTAGGGTATCCCATTACATTTTTATTTCAATTCTATGATTTTTTACTCCCATACGTCTCGCTTTTCAGTGATTTTTTTCACGCATGACAACCAACACAGTACCCATGACGTTTTAACTAACTAATGTGCCCCTCATAGAACGCAAGGGATCAGCTTTGTAGCAGTTTCTAGCAGTAAGTGCGTTTCTAGCGATTTAGGCCAATGTTACTTTCACTGTCGAATCGAACAGCGAGTCGATCATGATATGGGTCTGGGAGGCGCATAGGGGAGGCCAGGCGAGACGCGAAGTAGTGGAGTACTTAACGTTATTTCCTTCTCCTCTGTCATTATTTCTTTTCTTTACAGCTCTTTTCTTATGCTTCGTTCTCGGGGAAGATCACTTTTGAAAAGTAGGAAATGAACTGAGAAATGGGAATGAATAAATTCGATTGAAATCTCAGATACTATCCATATTTTTCTCAAATCCTATGGGTTTATGAGTTTTTCATAAGTCTGTGTTTTTTTTTGCTAGAATTGAACTTTTGTCTCATTCTGAAACCCGTTTGTTATTTTCATTTCGTCTTCAACCAGTTGAAACACGTAATTCTACCTTGGTTGCTAATATAGGAGATTTCTACATCGTACCTCTATTAACATAGACATTTTCCCAGTCGGGTCTGCATTTTGAGTAAGAATACTTTCGATTAGGTTATCTGTGTGTGGTCTCGTCTGTTGATGCAACAACCCCAGACCAACCCCAAATTGGTGGGCAGCGATCGGTAATGAAACTGTGGATGCTGAACTGGCTGCAAATGATAAAAGAACTGAAACCAACCGCCGATCAAATAAATTATAAGTATTCCCTCTCATCCTAACTGAAATAAGGGGCGGGGTCGGACGAGTTTTCTGAACTTGCTTGCTCCACAGTGCCACTAACCCGCTTATTTGAATTAGCCGCTACGCCGTAATCCACGCCGCGTATCATGGGGTGTGCACGACGTATCTTGTCCGTGAATTCACATTAGCTGTCGTAAGCTCACTTTGTAAGCCCAACGCCATCATCATGCTTTTTAGAGCCAAGACAACGGCACATCTGTTACTCGTGTGTCACTCCATCCCACTCAGAGGAAAGATTCTTTGACACGACCTCATCTGGGGTAGTTACTTCAGGGGACCCCAGTCCTTATAATAGAATCAGCCTATGTATGCTTGGAGAGCCACGCAGTCGTGCTTACAGCGCCACGCGACCACACCTAGGCATGCATCTAGAAAAAGAAGCAAGACTATGAGAAGTTTGGCTTTATCGATTCCTTCTGGGATGCGCCAAGCAGTCGATTGATGTGTAGGATTGACGATTGAATGAATAGCATGTATTGGTTCAGGAAAATACCATTGAAATTATAATTGTTCTACATGAAAATTCTCGCTGGAAATTGATCATGTTATCGAAACTAAATGTCGATGCAACAAGCATGCAACACAATCTGCATCAAGAATGTTTACGCCTGTTGCCTAACTTGTTTCGCCTTTGACAGCAGGAATTTTTGGCGACCTCCACTGCTTTGGGAGGGGTTTCGATGCGATCCCCCCGCTCTTGCATCATGTTTCCATAGTTTGATCCTGAGACCACGCCACACAGCCTCCACCCCTTCCTCCAAAATGAGACATCGAGGGGGGGGGGGGAGGGTAATTACTGTTGGGCAATGAAGATAACGCTGATTTTCTGCTTCGCCTTCCCTACTCCACCCTGTATCCCACCTTCCTATCACCCTGTCCACCAGTTCATCCCCCAAAAAACGATCTAAATCGGCCAATCAAAACATGGGACTGTTTATTTGTGAAAAATATCTTCGACTCGAATCGTAATGCAAAGAAGTTGCTGTTGGATTCAAACTCCGTAATTAGTTTACTGGAACAACCTCTCCTATAAGGTAAGGTTGATGGCAGGGATAGTGCCATTTTCGCGACTCAGAAGCATCAGGCAAAGGCGTTAGGGACTTATCTTTAGGCATCCGGCAGCATACCGTTGCACATGCGTTTTTGCCTGCACCTGGTTAATCCCCTATACTTCTTCGTTTCCCTTTCCCTGGTCTCGGCGTTAAAGGAATCTTCCGCGGAAAAAGCTCCGCCTCCATTACCACAGAAAAACGATACCCCTTAGGCCCCTAGCCTCATGAGCATAGCAAAAAGAACGGAACATAAGCGTTAGTTTCGATAATACTAATCCTACACACAAGACAAAATGATCACTCTTTCCGTGGAAGATTCCTTTAAGGTATCGTTTTCTGTGGTAATGAGGGCGGAGCTTTTTCCGTGGAAGATTCCTTTAAGCGTCTCTCACACATCTCTATTATATCAAAAAAAGCCTAATTTTTCTAAAATTTTCTCTTCTCCTTTCTTCACTGGCCGTCTACATCTCAAATTCACTTTATTCGAACAAAACCACCACACCTGGACAATCGCGGGCTGTGCCCCTGTAGAACGCGATGGCTTCCTCTTTACCTATCCAACTTCCTCTTTCCTGCCCTCCAGTTCCCCTGCAGCATCATGTGGAGTGGCCAAGAAGTGGCTCAGCGGTGTTTATGTAGCAATTGTGGTGCTATCACATCCATGTTCGGTCATTACTCTGTCGAAGTGAGGCCTTCGCACCGTGACAGCCCCCTTCCAGAATGGTGACTCTACCGAGCTTCAAGTCTTGACAAATGTTTCTATCGCAAAGAATCGAACGCTTACTAGGGTTCTCGATATCGTGATATCATTTGATAAAATTATACCCGAGGATGAGATTTTTTTGTAGGTAGTATGACAATATCTGAGACGGACCGTGAGAAAATTGAGGAGCTGCGGAATCTAGTAAAGGAGCATGTGAGTTCATTATAATGCTTTATGCCAAAAACTACGTTACCTACGCCCAACTACGTTATCATATCAAAAACGAATACGCCTAAACTCGTTTTCATGAGTACGATCGAGGCACTATGAACCACCACTTTTCGTATTATTGTCCTACTATTTAGCCTTACTTTAAAGGATCCCCCGTTGTGGATCAAATGTGCTGAGCAAGTTTTGGGACAGGTCAGGGACATGGAGGCGTGTCTAAAAGCCACTACAACTAGAAAAGGTGTGAGCCTGCTGCGTGGTGACGAGATAGCATGTTTGGGCCTCTCCTTTTTGCACGCTCTTTTACTTGGTTGAGGGCCGAGTGGTTAAGAAGCAAGCGCCTTATCAGGTTTCTACGGTATCAAGTCCCGGTGATCTCGCAACCCTTCCTCGCTACCAGGTCAAATTCAACTTGCACATTGGCTTATCCCAGTGAATGGTTGAACAGACCAAATGCGCATTTAAATGCACCCGATTCCATTAAGAAAAGGTGGCGCACTTAAAGGAGGAATTCACGATTAGAATGAAGGTCGAAGAAAGGGAAACTGACCTAGTTGAGGGACCCACGGACCTCCTGAGGGTGCGAACTGACGCGCAATTCGCATGGAAAAATTTGACCTCGGCGACCTATCATGCCTCAAAGCTGGCGGGTCCGGCGATCTCCGCCCACCGATCATCTGATCACTCGCCGTAGTTCAATACGTGGCGAGTGATTAGATAGCTGAGAGAGCGTAGTGTTGAAGAGGGCACAGCGATGAGAGTCGCATCAATGCTCGAATCAACGGGCAAGGAAGGGTACCATTTCTCGGGTTCTGGGCCGTTTCTCATGGTTCTTCCTTCTTTCGTGTACCACTCACCATCCCTAGGTTAATTTGAAATGGGTTGCTTTTTCATCGTGAATTCGTCCTTTAAATCAAGATCAAATAGTTTACGAAGATCTTTATCATTTTATGTTAACTTTTGATTGAGAGTGTTGATGTTTAGTATTAAAACTCAGCTAGCGTGACTTTCTTCACCTAAGTCGCGTTTCCTTCTTCGGATTTTCACAGAAACGGGCGCTTTTCCTGCATTTTGGTTCCCTCAAAATGCGATCATCAGCTTGACGAGTTTTGGGGAAAGCAAGGACAAGAGGTTTCCTTGAATGATATATTCACCAGCGCTTAAAATTTTTATGTAAGTAGTTTTTAGGAACGGGAATAGGGTCAATTTTTCTTGTCCTATTATCACCTACAAACCTATTCCTTATCCTCCTTCCTCATCGCCTTATTCTTCTCATCTTGGCTTTTGCAGATTACACCATACTATGACACCGACTACAACCTCTTACGATGGCTCAAAGGTGAGAAATGGCTAGGTGGCCGTCGTCAGTTTACTCTTCTTCCCTTCAGCCATTTGAAATATTAGTTTTTTGAGGTCACGACTACAATCTGGAGATGAATCACTCCCAAATTGATCAACCATTTGATGTTGCGCAAGATGTGGGATCTTGACAGTTTGCCCGACAAGCCCAGAGATCACGCTATCCACAAACACTGGAAGGTGCACTATTAGTTCAGAACTGTTGACCATAACAATTGAATGCTAGCTCACAGTACCGCCTCTGAAAACCGTGAAATATGCCATTCTCATTTTCAGAGTGGCCTCACTGGTGAAGCTGTGAAAACGCCAAATTGTATTGTGAATATTGAGCAAACAGGAGGAAATGACTATTGGGGCATGCTAAACACATATCCGATTAACGAAATATTACGGTAAGATCTTCCTTCGTGTTCAATTCGCTTCCAAGATAACACTCTATTATAATCCTTGGAGCGTTAGAAGAAAACAATCTGAAAATAGTTTCACAAGTAATGCTGGGTTGTGAACAAAACTTTCGCCCCAGGCGGGACTAGAACCCGCACCTGGTGCGGGTTCTAGTCCCGCCTGGGGCGAAAGTTTTGTTCACAACCCAGCATTCTTGTGAAACATTCGCAAGGCGAACTGCGGCCAAAAACAGCAGTTAAAAGGATAAAGGATAAAGCATTTGCCGTTGATCAATCCCTTTTGGGATGCGGCACGCATTCTACTTCCATTTGTACATTCGTAGTGGCGTTTGAATGCGATGTGGCCTATACAATGACTTGCGGGGGCCAGCCGATGTACAAGTCAGTGTTTTTATCCTCCCAGACAAGTCTGGTACCAATTAACCGACCCCGGAGGGATGGAAGGCTTGGTTGGCCCGGGCGACTCACGACCCAGGATTTGATCCCCGGACCGCTCGCGTGGTAAGCGTGCCACTTGCCACTACACCACTTCCGCCCAAAACAGAGATAGCAAACAGAAACTTGC